ACATAAGAGTCATGCCTTTAGGGGATAGTATAAAAGTTCTCCTCCCTGGTGATTGGTAGCCCTAAGTACATGAACATACCCCAAAGCGTGATTGACATAGGGCCCAACTCGAATATGAATGTGGTATAGCTAGGTGCCTAAAAACTTAGAAGGGCCATCAGCAGATTGACCAGAATGTCAGTTCGGCTAATAAGAGTTGGATTAGGTCATAAAGACCCATCTCCTTCTATTACGGTTCGTAAGTCTATCTCAAGCACTTCACCCAATTGGACCAAGTTCGAGGAGACTGGGGCCATTTTTAAAGCTTCTAGCAAGAGGATTCAGTAAAGGCTAAAGTCCTTCGGGCTAGAATTAAATTACAGAATGAGGTTAGTAGCCATGGATTTAGCTGGGTGGGAGCGGTCACCTCCAAAAGGTCGGGGGAGATGGTCAAATGCCCAATGTTGCTCTTGTTGGCAATTTGAAAGCTCTAGGGAGAACTACTGGAAAGACAAAGAACAATCAATATTTTACCCTTAAAAATATAAGGACTAAATAGAAAGCAGAAAGCTTACCAAAAGGTGACGGAGTCATGACCTGAAACAGAAATGGGGAGGTATCAAAATAAAGACCTAATCCAGAAAAATGCGAGTTCAAAAATAAAGTACGTACCATCATCAATCCTCCTAACGGAGTAATAGGATTTCAGATTGTGACTAAGGAATCAAGTAAACTGCCGGTAAGAATGTTAGAGGGGGCAGTAGTAGATGTGGCGGCGGCAGAGGAAGAAGTCATTGTTGTGCAAAGAAAGAACAAAGCAAGAAATGCTGAAGCTTAAACAGTAAGAAACAGCAAGGAGGACAAGGGGAATGACCAGGAAAAAGAAAAACAAGAATTTATATTGATAAAGGGCACTCAGAGATGAAACGACATTTTAGTTTTTTTCAAACGTGCTATGTGGCTTATGTTTATCAGCCACTAGCACGCGGGGGGCATTGTTTGGACTAAATATGAAACGTCACTTGTCAAAGTGTTTGAGTAGGCGATAAAGCCATACAAGCCAAGTGATTGAAGAGTCAGGCCCAATCAATAACCTAAACAAAGGAGCCAGCCCTGAGCTCAGTGGAAAGTCATGGCCAGATAATCATGTCAAAATCCTGCCAATTGCAAACCCACTCTATGGAGCATTGGTACATAAAGACATGATCTCAAATGATCCCATATCTCATGGAAACAGCATCATCGTGCCCAAGTATCTCGGCGAGATGAGTGGTATTAAAAATGGAAAACTGTGATTAAAAACCACACTATGAATTTCATAGGATCCCTGATTCTTCATAAGAACACTCCAAGTTATAAGGAAGAAGCTACCATCATTTTGTCACTATAAATAAAGTACTAAATTATAGAAGAAGACAATAGTCAGCACTCGAAAGACTCACATTTTGCACCCATAGTTCTTAGGTTTGTCAATTAGTTATCTTCAATTGAGACTTGTAACCATTTATGTTTCGTAATGTTGTAATAATAATCAAACACTTGTTCTATCAAGTCTTGCGTATCTTTTACATCTGGGTAAATTGTGGTAAGGGAACCTGAGGACCTTTTGTTATCAATTGAGACTCAACATCTCTAGCACGCTTAGTAACTTGTTGTTTGCGACAAACAATAGGAAAGGAATGAGTCCCTTGTGCAAGCATACCATAGTAGGAAAGGATAAAGCATATACACAACATTTACAAGCAGAGCAATTTATGTCACACAACTCTTTGTAGGCTCATTACAAAAAAAGACTTTTAGCAATAACTTTTAGTAGCAACAAAAAAGTCACCTCAAAAGGTCCACTTTTAGCTACGACATTTAACTTATGAAATTAAATTATATGATTTTTAAATTTAATTTTTTTAAAAAATTAAATATAATTTTAAATTATATGAAAAAAATTTATAAAATTATTATTAGAAATTTTTTTCTTATGAATTATTTTAAAATTTTAAAATTAAATAAAATCATGCAAAAGATATTTATGAAATTAAATTTCTTATTTTATATATAGAATGAGAAATAAAAGATATATAGCATCAAGAAACAACAAAAATAATAATGAAAATATGCTAAGTTTAATTAATAAATTATTTTTAATTTTGTATTATACATAATCTTTTTTAGACATATATAGGTCATCTTTTTTAAGAATGATCTTATTAAGCTAGTATTTTAATATGATATAATTAAAATCTTGATGGATGATTACTTTCAATTATAATTAGGCTAAGTTATACATAAATACTTACTTACATACAAATATATAAATGGCAATGGGACGTTAAAGTTGTACAGATATGACGAGATGCAAATGATATTGCAAACTATTTATCATATTGTGTATTTAATGATTGGCCTGATATACACATGATGTCTACTCTATTTGCTGAGCTCTGATGACTTTTTAACAAGAATGCCTTGTGATTCTACCAAGTATTTTGGTTTCCATTGTTATAAAAAAAGAAGTTACTAATAATATTTTTATAATAGATTATTACTGAGAAGAATAAAAAAAATTATTCAAATTTGCTTTATTGTTATGAGGTAGAGATTAATTAGAGGTTAGCTAGATCAATCACATTTGATATTCTTGTAATTATTTTGCATTATAAAAGTTTTTTGGTATCCATTAAAAATTTAAAATTGTTCAAAATGAATATTAATAAAATTTATATGGTTAAAATTAATTTTTTATTAAAATGAGTTTTAAATATAATTTAAGAATTGTAGAAAAAATGATTTTCAATAAAAGCAGGGGAACATTTAATTTGGGAGAAAATAAAAATTTAATAATTTATTTATTAATTTTTGAGAAAAATATGGGGAAGTAAAAATTAATGATATTTGACATAAATTAATATAATACATATTTATACATAAATTTAAAATTAATTATTTTCATTTTAAAAATAAAAAATTGGTTAAAATGTTTATAAGAAAATTATTTAATATTTAATTTTTTTATTTTAAATTCATTTCCCTAACAAAAATAATATTTGCTGGTAAAAAAGTAATATTTTATTAAATAAATAATATATATTCATATATAGTCATATAAATAGCACATTAATAAATGAAAATAAATAATAATATTTGTATAAGTTTTTAATAATACATTATTTAATATATGTGTACGTAGTTAAATAACATATATTTAATTTCGCATATAGTAATTGCAGATGCATTGTAATTCAGCTGGTAAAGAATGAGGACTTAAAGCTTGGGAGGTGGAGGTTAAGGACTCAAATCTTAACTTTGACATATTTTGTAATGAATATGTGACATGGCATATGTTGGTGATATCACGTGATGTGGCAAAAGATATGGCAAAATGTGGTACATGACATGGCATAAGGAGTCACCCATGTGGCGAGGGTGATATGGAGTGGGTGTCCTTAACAAGGCATGAGGAGGCATACGCGTGGTAGGGTGACATAGCATGATGTGTCGAATGACGTAGCACGAGATGGCTCTTTTGTTATCTTTTTTTCCAAAAAAAAAATTTTAACGGTGACAAATAAAAATAAACTTTTATCAGAAATAGTTTGTTGCCACAAAAAACTATTAGCAACGAGAGTTTTGATGGTAGCTTTTTGGCTGTCAAAAGTCACCCCTAAATACCTTTTGTAGAGACAAAAGTCAATTTTTTAGTGGCTTTACTTACTCTAGCATGGCAGCAAGCCCTTATAGAGCTCTGCTCTATTTCTAATAGCTAAGTAGATCAGATAAAACAATATGAGCATATTTGGAGATTAAAAACCAAAATACCATAAGTAACATTGGAAGCAAAAGTTTTTTACAACTTGCACTCTGATCATATCTCCTAGGCCCTAACCATGGGTCCCGAGGGGCGAAGGCTATGAGATATCTCAGCTAAATACATAGAATCATTAATCGAATAAATGACTAAACGCATGATGACTATCTTATTTGGCAGTAGTAGCATTCCTGGCTTTTAAGACCATACCCCTCAAGAGTTATGGTGTCCTTATGTAAGTTCCTTTTTTGAAGCTCTACTATTGTTTCCTAAAACATATGAGGGATTGAGAAAATAAAAAAGTCTTAGTATTATCCTGATTCATATTGTGAAAAATTTGAAGACTATCACATCAACGAAGTTATTGAGGAATGGTATGAGTATATTTTTCAGCTATGGGCTAAAAATAAGTGAGCTGGACCTTGTTTGTTTTAGTTTTTCTCATTTAGATTTTAATTTGAAATAATTTGTTTTTTTACTTAGTATTATATTGAGCAATTGTATAGAAAATAATTTTTTTAAATAAAATTATTAGTTTTTTATAATTGCTTTTAGTTTGGTATAATTTTAGATTGGATTGGACATTTTATTTACATTGTGCTGTTGCAAGGGGGCTGTAAGAAAAGTAGCCTCCCTATTATAAAAAGTTTTTTTAATATATTAGACGGTTATGGACAAAAACCGTCCAATATAAGCAATGTATTGGACAGTTATTACTATAACCTTCCAATATATCTATTATATTGGACGGTTTTATAGTTAATCGTCTAATATATCCTTCCCAATTCCTACTTTTTTTAACAACATATTTGACGTTTCCTTAAACCGTCCAATATAGTAATATTGGACGGTTGTAATAACCGTCCAATATTTGTTTTACTAATATATGACGGTGTCATAACTATTCAATATAAGCAAAAAGAACTATCCAATATTACTTTTACTGTAGCAGTGCACTGGTTACAAAGTATCCATGGCCGGTTGATAACCTAGTTTGGTATGTTTTCGCAAATAGCATCAACAAGGCAAGATAAATAGTTTATTTCTTTATCAATAGGGTTATATTTAGTTTACCAAGCAAGCCACATTAGCAGTAAATCAAAGCCATACTAGGATAGATAAGAAGATATCAACATATATAGTTTACAACATACAAGTGATCAACCACCATATTCTCTTCCTAATTCATCTAACTGAGATGCTAGGCAATAGGAGATGGTGCTAGCCAAAGGCTCCAATGTTCCTTTCCAGAATCTCCCCCTTTATAACTACAAGGGGAGCCATCTTTGATACATGGGTAGGAAATCTTTCTTCATATGTAGTCAAACAAAAACTAGTAAAATGCAAAGAGAAACTCAACTTCTTGTTTTTTTTAACGGTAAAAAGGCTTAACAATCCATAATATTTTGCATTAGCATAAGTATTCATATATACAAGCGGCCAAACTTTCATGCCTGGGAAATTGTCAATATCTAATAATTTTATTTACTTACCAAAACTTCAAGACAATAATCTAACATGGATATAGTTCAGTAATTGAGGCCTCATTTATTGAACCTCGAATAGTGTTACTTCTTGGTTCACTTGATCTTGTTGCCTCTAAGCTGTACTCATTAAAATGTACCTCACTTGAACCTGTACTATTCGTTAAAAGTGGAGGTCTTAAAGGTAAAGGGAGAGACAAAGAGAAGCTATTCAATATAAGTACAACTGAAGCAATGTTTGGCCTGTCAGCCACATTTTCTTGAACACATAATAATCCAATGTGGATGCATCTCATTACTTCATTTCTCGAACCATTGTTTAATACAGGATCTACTATATTCATGACTGTCCCTTCCCTCCAATTTTTCCATGCCTGCAAGTTGTTCCTCAATAATGTAGAATGATGTTAGTCCCAACTTACTTATATTCAAATACATGTTAGCTAGTCATCATATATAAGAGCATAATCTTACATTACATACTTTTGAAAGATGACAAGTGTGTGTGTGTGTGTGTGTGTGTGTGTTGAAAGATGACAAATGTGTGTGAGTGAGTGTTAGCTAGTCATCTTACAAGATGACAAGTGCAAGCATGCGTGTGCATGAGAAAAGGACTTACAAAGCTTAAAACATCATGTGAATTCTCTTCATCGAAGATGCTGTTGTTCTTTCTGCCACTTATAAGCTCTAAAACCAATATGCCAAAACTGAAAACATTTGATTTGACAGAGTATTGTCCATGCATTACATATTTTGGTACCATATATCCACTAAATGTCAAGAAAAATATATAGGCTTAATTAGACATTAATTTTGACATTGTCAAGATGAACAAAGTTAAATAGACATTAATTTACTCAATGTCTTATAATTGTCATTGATTATAAGGTTTGTGATACTTACTAAGTTCCAACTATTCTACTTGTATTACTTTGAGTTTGGTCTACAACAAATAGCTTTGCCATGCCAAAATCTGATATTTTGGGATTCAACTCTTCATCTAAAAGAATATTACTTGGTTTGAGATCTCGATGAATAACACGTAATCTTGAATCTTCATGAAGATAAAGAAGACCACCAGCAATGTCTCCTATAATCTTGTAGCGTATCACCCAATTCAATTGAGCACGTTCATTTGAATCTGCAATATTTTCCTACCCATTTAAAAATTTATCTTTTAAAAATTACATCTAATATATGCATTTTGATTTTCATCAAATATAAATGAAGCAATAGAAGTACCATCCAAATTGAGCTAAAGCCCTAATAACTTACTAAACAATAAGTAATCAAGACTTTTATTGGGAAGAAATTCATAAACGAGAAGCCTTTCATTTGTTTCTAAAGAAAAACCAAGTAATCTCACTAAATTATGATGTTGGAGTTTAGCCACTAAGAGCACTTCATTCTTAAATTCTGCATCTCCTTACACAGAATTCATTGACAACCTTTTGACAGCAATGTCTTGTCCATTGGGAAGCCTACCCTGCATTTGTTAAACTTGGGAATGTAATTGTTATTTAATTTGACAATGTTTTGACAGTATTGTCATAGTTATCCCAACAATATCATAATTGTACCTTGTATACTGATTCAAATCCTCCTTGTCCAAGTTTATTGACAACAACAACAACAACAACAAGCCTTTATCCCACTAGGTGGGGTCGGCTACATGGATTGCAAGACGCCATTGTGCTCTATAAGTTTATTGACAACAGAGAAGTTATTTGTAGAGAGTCTGATGGTGTTAAAATTGAATTGCAATGACTCGATTGGTTTAATTTCATTATCATTTGCTTCAGGTTGGTCAACTGAGAAAAAAAATTCAAACAAAAGATTACTTCTTCAAATTAGATGAAATATATCTATAAATATTCATTCTCTACTTTTATTTTGCCAGAAAAATTTTAATATAAAATATAATAATTAAATTGTTGAAAAAAATCTAACGCGTTTAACTTTCTTTTCCCCCACTTCACCATATTGAGATTTTCTTTGTCATTCATCACATACCCTTATCACTTTCAATTCATTATGTGTCATATTTGGGTCCAAATAGCAATTTTTGAAACAAAAAAGTACTAAATTAAAGATTTATGTATAAAGAAGTAATTAAAGTTTTAAAATGTCTTGTTTAAATCATTGCCAAATAACATACAGTTTAAATATTTAATTCAAATAGAATTATATTCCATTATTGCCTTTTATATATAGTATTTATGAATTGTGAAAATTACAGTTTCGTGTAGTAGGTGTGTGTTTGTAAAGTAATGCAGCCTTAATTTTTATTTCTTATTATGATATTCAAATAAACAATGTTCTTTTTTCACATAAAATTAACAATTTTCAATGGACATGTGAATAATTTGCCATGCATGAAAACATTATTTCGACTTACTTTCAACTGTTCTCTTTGATTTCCGAACAGCAAAATAGATGCATATCAAAATAAGAAGTGCGATAAAAACACCAAGTGGCACAACAACGATTGTGACAGTTCTTGATATGTTGCTATTTCCTACAAAAGGCAAACAGGATCAGAAGTTGATTAATTAACCTATTCTCATTGATACATATATACACAACAATAAAATAAAATAAAATAAAGAGTTAAAACCCATTTTTGGCCTAAACTATATTCTTGGGCATCTAGTATCCTAAGCTTAGCTTTGGTCCATTCTTCCTCCGAGACTTTTAAAACCAGATCATTCTTGTTTCTGTTGTTAACTAAGAGACCGTTAAATGTTGATGTGGATCGGATTACTTGACTTTTTATGCTATCTGCCATGCCATGTGGCTTACTGACTCAATTTGAAAAAAAAAAAAAAAACTTGTCTTCCTCACATTCTTCAGTTCCAAGTCACTTCGCTCCAGGGAAAGAACCGATTCGCTCAAATCGCCATTTCACTTCCAAACGTCGCCGGAGTCCATATTGTCCTACCAAAGTCCGTAAGATGGAGAATGAGCCCAAGGGCATCGAGGTCTCTCCCTATGCCTACGTTGCTGTCTTCGTTAGATCTCCATCTCCATTGCGAGCCCGCTGTGTTCTCTCCTGTTGCATCCCGATAGATTCAAAAGAGGCAAATTGAAGTAGATCGAAGCGGATCTCTTGAGGAACCCAAAATCAAAGCAGATCGAAGATGATTGAAGTGGAGCTCTTGAGGAACCCAAAATCGGCGCTTGGGTTTTGAATCTCTGGGTTCATAAGCTTGGATTCAAAAGAGAAGGTAACTTGGCATTAACTCCAATTATGATTTCTGGGTTGAATATTCTTTCTTCACCTCCTTCGACGTCTTTCTAGGTTTATTTTTGGGTTGGATTTCAGCGTTGATTTTGGATTTCTATTTTAATTTCTGTTCCTAGGTTGAAACTTTCTAGCTTCCTCCACACCTCTCTTAAACTGAAATAAAGACTTGTTTTTACTAAGCAGTGTAGAATCTAAGAAGCCGGTCCCTACCTTGTTCGGAGATGCTATTCCATTCACTTTTTTAATTTTACCATTTGCCCTTGAAAATTCTTTGGTTCCATTTCCCACTTCGAATTTTGCTATGGTTTTGACTTCTATGTTCCTCGAGTATGAACTGTCATTGACGGAATTCTTTTTTATTTAGTTTTGGTACAAATTAGGCAAATTTATGTAGCATATATTTTTTCATGGATTCTAATTGCATCTCTAGCTTCATCCATTGGCCCAAAAAAAAATATCTAGCTTCATCCGTGGATATCAATCCTGTAACATCCTAAAAATTTTCAATAAGGATAATTAAACTAATTAGGAGTAAAATGATAAACTAAGGTCTATTTTAGGGTTAATATAGTGGATGGATGACCACTATATGAGGTTTAGAATTGGACTTTAGGCACTATTGGGCCACTTGGGTCCAAATTAATGGGGCAGAGTTAAGTTTTTCATGTCTATGTCATCCACTGTGGCAGAATGGTGAAATTTAAATTCTAGAAGAGTCACATTTTAGATAGAAAAACAGAGGGTTTGAAAGGGGGAATGAGAGGAATCAAGGAGAGCTCTACTACGGGTTATCTTTAGCAACATTTAAAGGCTATTTTGGGCTTCTCAATCATTGGGTAAGCTTCTATTTCTCATTTCCTCCCTTTTCTATGCGTTTTCTGTGAGATTTTGGGTGTTGGGTATTTAAGTTTGAAGCTAGAACTAAGTCCCACCCTTTCATCTAACTTCAATGGAGTTATGGGATGCTCGATCATGTTTCTAACTATTGGGTTAGGCTAATAAGGGTGTTTAGTAAAGTTAACAATGGGTTTGATGTTAACCCTAGAGCTTAGTGGCCAAGCTAGCGATAATGGGGGTAATGTAACAATGTTATTTAGTCTAAAGAGAGGTTAACCGAGCTAATAAAACCTAGAAATGGTTATGGTTATACCATAACTGGAGTCTTGGGTTTAAACTTTGATTTGAGCTAATTAATGATTATTAACTATTAATGGTATTTGATGGTACTAATTGTAAATTAATTACTCTTGGAGCTTGCTTGTTTGTTTGGAGGCTCCATTGGCTTTTCTTTTCAAGTGTACTTTTGGTTTGGTAAACTAAGGGTTGAGGTAATCAAAAGTTGAATTATTGTGTATGTTTGTTATTTGTGATTATGATTTATGTATGATTATTATATGACAATGTGTGAAGTTATTCTAGAAATTTGATGAAGTGGGTTTTTGAACTATACCTTAATTTGCAAATGATTAAATGGATTTGCAATGTCTCAAGCATGTTGATATGTTATAGTTTGTTGAACATGAGCTTTGCATTAGAATATGTCATATGAACACGAATTATCTATTACATGTTCATGGATGAATGGGAGATTGTGAAGTATGTAACATCTTGAATTTTTAAATTCAGGATCAAATGAGTTAATTAAGGGTAAATAAATAATTTTTAACATAAATTGATTTGAGGATAGTTAGAAATGGCTAATGGACTTACTAGATTTGGTTTACAGCCTTCAGATTAGGCCCAGAGTTATAGTAGGCTGTTTGGGTCCAATTAGAGGACTCAATTTGGACTAGCCTTCTTTGTACTATGCACCATGATGGATGGCTCAAATCAAAAATAAATGAGACTAATCGGGTGTTTAAAAAATAGAAGAAAAGGAAGAAGAACAAGGGAGCTTCATTTTGGCTTTGCTAGGGCTTTGTCTAGGTGGGACTTGTGAGGATTTGGAGCTCCAAATCACTTAGGTTAGCTTTCCTATCATTCCTCTCCTCTTTACTTCATTTTTTAGCTGGGGTTTGTAGAGGAGATGATGATTTTTAGACCTTAGGGCTTCGAGTCCAAACCCATTTGCCTTAATGGGACTGATGGGAGTTGTATAAGCTTCCTACTCCTAGTTTTGAAGTTTCTATAAAATTATGACTTTGGGTTTTGGACAAACCATAAGCACTTAAATGATGAATTTGGTAAGTTGGGAGTCATAAATAGTGATATTAAAGTTAATAGGAGTTAATACACCTATTGGTTGTAAGAAATTAAAAGAGATTGTCTATTTGGGTTGATTTATTATGAAATTAGAGAGTTGAAAATGTGTTAATGGAGGTAATATTGATGGTTATTGTTGTAAATTGTAGATTAATTACATTACACACCATTTGATAACCTTTGTGATCCCAAATGTTTGGGGTAGCTAGGGGAATTTAATTCTTGTATTATTGCTTGTTTGATCATGGGATATTGTAAACATTTTTTTCATAATTAAATCAATATGTTTTATGTGTTAGAGATTTAAAAATGCAAGTGTGGCCATTTGAAATAATGGAAAAAATGATTGAAGGTGCTAATAATTATTGAAAAGAGTTGTATGAGAATGAGAAAATTTTATGTAATGTTGAATACGATTTGTATTTTGGAAAACACAAAATGAGTAAGAAGGGACGATGGAAGTGATCATTAGTTATTGAAAATAATGATTTTGAATATGATGAGATTGAAGGTGATTTTTTTGATAATGATCATACATTTGGTTGAAAAATGAGATATGCTGTGTGTTAAAAATGATCAATTGAGAAATGGTATATGCTATGTATTGAGCATTACTACTAAAAAAAGTAATAATATAGGAATCCTCATATGGGATAATTATATGCACAACCATCCTATATGAGGAGATGAAGGTAAAGGTACGATAATTTGAGAAGAGAAATGGGATGGTTACATAAGGAACTGGCCTATATTCAACATATAGGATGTTTCCTCATGCAACTGTTTTGTATGTGTTTTAGGAATTTGAAAATCTAATAATTTTTTAAAAAAATATAAACATATACCAGACAGTTCCATGAAAGAACCATCCTGTATGTGTTGTTATATAGGATGGTTAAAACAAAGCATTGTCCTATATATGCTTTAAAATTAAATCCCAAAACCCTCCTTTCATTCATTTTGTGTTTGTCTTCTTCAAGCTTATACTCAGAGTTCTCTCAACCTTACCATCGATTTCTTGCCCAGAACATGTTTACGTCGTCTAAACCACCTTTCTCAAGCCCCATCATTGTGATGCTGTTGACAGAGAAGATGTCGTTGCCATCTATGAGTCTTTGTTTCATCATTCACTTTATCCCAACTTTCTGTTTGCCCTTTTTTTCTAATTTCTTTGTGAATGCTTGAAATTTGAAACCCTAGCTTCCGAAAATCAAGCCCCAAGCTCGTGGTGTGACCGAAATGCCCCTTCTTTTCTAGGTTCAATGTTGCTGAAGGTATTTGACCAAAACCCTTATTCTCTTCAGTTTTTTAACAATATAGCTAATTTTTTGGCTGGGAATCTTTAATGGACATTATGGGTAACTTAAAAAATTATGATTTGGACAAGAATTTAGGATTGAAATTGTATGTTAGGGTTAGTTTATTTTTTTTAATGAATTTTATGTGAATTTCATGGATATTTTTATAATTCAAATTCTAGAGCTTATTTTATTCGGGGTTTTTGTTGGTTAGAATTTACATATTGAAATGTACAAGTTTGCCAAATTTCATGACCATTAGATTTGATTTAAGTTACTATTAGCTAATTAAAAATCTTACTTTTTGAGACTTTTGGCTATATATAGTTTTGAAATAATTGTTATGGGTTATTACTGTGAATCTTTTTGTTGTTGATGATGTTATTGTTCTTGCTGCTATTGAGATGAGGGCAAAATGCCCAGGAAAGTGCCATTTTTAAGCTGTTCTGTTGTTGGATTTTAGCTTGAAAAATTCTTCCCGCTTATTTAAAGAAAGAAAGAAGGTTAAAGTGCGCCTCCAATTGATTCCATTACTACCTAGGTATTTTTTTTTCTTTTTAAATTTGCCTAGATTATTCGTTTGCCCTTAATTTTTTTTTAATTTTCCAGTTTCAATTAGCTTCAATCAAATGTTTTAAAAAATTTTCCTTGAGCTGTGATGCTATCCATATTATATATGATTATTGTTGTTATTGGAAGTTAATTAGATTCTTCAATTCGATCTTATGTTAGACTGTTGTTAGTTAATTAGATTGTTCAATCTAATCTATT